GAATTTCATCGTTTGAAATTAAGACGACGTCGACGTATCTCAAATTGAGTAAATAAAAATGAATGCAAAGTCTGCAACTGCTGGAATACCGGCCTTCCTTCAGCGTCATGATGGAGCGGCCTTTTCTGGCTCTATTCGGTCCATGAAGTTGAGGATAGTCCTTATTTTTTTACAAGAACAGATGATAGCAACTACGTGGCAAGCGTAATGTATAGCTTATTATTTCACATCCACAGAGTGTTAGTTATTTATCAGTTTCAGAAAATTGACGTGGGCTCAATCCTGGGACATCTCGGTTTGAGGTCCGAGGCCTTACTGCCCGCTCTTTGTAGTATGGAACGACGTTTTAAATTCCTTCCTCAAGGGAATTTGCTTGTGATGAGTACAAGGTTTTCTCATGCAACAGAATCGAACCGGAACCTTCAGAGGATAAGCCGGCCTCCTGGGCACTACGTGACCAGCACTTTTAATGGAGAGCAGGTGCGTAATGAGGCGAACATAGGGATAATGCCTGGCACTCTAGCAAACTCATGTAGATCACTGCAAGAAGTACGCCAGAATCCATCGGAATACAGTGTTACTAATAATATTAATAAGAGAATAACATCTTTCGCGTTTGAGCTACTGGGGGTTGACCGGGGGGGTGTACTTGTCCAAATTAATTTGGAATCCGTTCTGCAAAGAGTAGTTGGCACCATTTCTGGCAATGAATCAATAATTGCTTTGCCATTTGAGGCCAACTGTGCAAAATCGGCATATGCAGAAGCCTCCTTGTTCCTTTGTTAATTTCTGTGATGGCATGGGTGAGTTGCTTTCTACATGGGTGAGCTCGCTTTCTACAGTATTGAAAACTAGGTACACTGAGTTTCAATGTCATATTCAATTGCTACAGAGATCATAGGCTTTAACTGTCGCATTCTTCAAGAGATTTCTGATTCTTGGAAATTGGTTGGAATTATTTTCTTCGTTGTATGCACCTCAGTTGATGACAAGTGATCTTTTATCCCATTTTGCTGTTCACGTTTATAATTTAAACCGACCTGATGCCATTAATAGCCGATGACAAGATCAGGTGCTTCTCTAGGATTTTCTTTCCAGCAGCTTCAATCCATCAAGACGACGGATAAAGTGTTGGATCGGAAATTATTGATCTCTTTCCAAGTATTAGGCACATTATATACAATATTTTTCATTATTGGTTGCTTTCAATGTCTTCATTCCGACAATGATTACCTTATTCTCATCGATCTCTGGTGTGAGAAGTTGATGGAAATTTTTGAGGGGGACAATAAATTCGGTCCAAGAGTGATTAGAGTATTTTCTATCGCACTAAAGGAAATAACAGCGAGGTTGCCAATCAGGGAGTTGTGGAAGGATCTGTCCGGCCACAAAGACGGATTGCTTTTCTCGTCATTCTCGTTTCACAGCTACGCTGAGTTCTGTACTTGCAGCACGTCGTCGGACTGAGGATGCCATGAAAATCGTGACAATAATTTCGCTTGATTTTCGAATAATTCATTACCGATGAACATTCTAACAGTCAGCGACTATTATGTGTAACCGCCGATGAAGCAGAAGCTTCGACGTACAAATGTTCTCGACGAAATAACAATAACTTATATGAATAATTTTCCATGATGATTTCCATAAAATACTAATCAATTCTGAAATCATAATTCACTTGTTAGCAAACGCTCCCTTCAGCAGCATGACCTGAAGATCGTCGAATTCATCCATCTTGACAAGGATAGCTGGTAAGACTCAAGCCTGAAGAAGCCGAGCAGAGACTGAGCACGCTGAGGACACAGATAATTTATAAAACTTGCCGAAGCCGTTCAAACACGATTGAACATCACCATACTTTCGTAATATTTGCGCCAACAGTAGTAGCGTATTTCTTTAAAATCACTTTTTGAGTGTGGGTCCATAATTCATCAACGGATTGCTTCATTGATGCATGATTAGGAAAAATATTCAGTTTTGATCATTTTACAGGTGATTTTATTCTTTCACTTTTGGTTTACCTACCATGCTTCAAGAAAACAATCCGTTCAGAAGAAGGACACGCAAAGTTTCGAGATTTCGCATGATATATCTAAGATATGGGGATTAATACGTTGTATGATACTTTTGGCTTACAGTATGTGTTGTTGTATCGAATTTTCTCTCCAACGATGATCGACACATCGGCCTTACAAGTAAACATCAATTTTTACTTATTCGTATCGTTTGCCATCAAATGAAACGCATAGCGATGATCAATTTATTCATTCAATATATTTTCACTAAAATTTTATTTTGTTCGTTTGCCTTCCAGCTCGTCTGACATAGTTCTTGACAGAATTCTGAACATTTTGGATCTCCCACGGCTACGCGAAGCAAATTTTCTGTCCTTTCAATTTATATTGTGTTCAGCGACTGTAACTTATTATCCAGGTAGTGTAATTCACCACACTACGAATTGATTGTCCTGGGAAACCATGTCATTTAGTGTCAGGCAGTAGACAGCTTATTTCTAGCAGTTGTACTCGATGAGTTATGCGCGAAAGCCGTTAGAGGTGGCATTTGTCGATCTTTGTATTCGAATTTAAATATTAGTAGTTTATACACATGTATTAAATAACTATCGAACAATTTCATTACAAAATGTTAATATAACTTAAACTTGAGTTATAATATTCGTTTCACCTATATTAGCTGAATACGCTAGAGCATGAGCAAATACGCAATACCTTTTGGTCAGTGTAATTTGAGTGTAATGTAGGATTCGCAGCACTCTTTCTGGTAACGAGACTCGTCGGTGATAGGAACAAATAATTACTGAATGCCGTAAGCGAAGAAAGAAATCTGTATACGCGATAACGAAGTATTGTATGACGCTGCCAGACTATATACTATTACCAGTTGAGCAACAACAATAAGTGTTGTTTACCGTAAACAAAGTTGCAAGGCATGCCTGGTTACGTAAACACGTTTTCGTTCTTTAGTCATATTCGTCAGAGAAGGAAACCGGGTGGTTTGCAACGCCGCTATTCAATGATACTTGCCGTAGCGCTATAACTTAGCTTAGTTATGGCAAACTAGCAACTGCACGACTTCGACTATCTGATAAAACTATAAATATGCACCAAATTGTGTTTAAGGATACTCAAGAAAAAGGAGAAGAATCACGCGGTTACTTTTGATCGACCAGTCGGTACGATTTCATCAGTTTTTTATAGTTGGTATGGGCGCATCATTCGATCAGATATTTTTCATACTTATGAGGAAGATAATGCATCGATCTGGTGCCCGATCTCATCCAGTCAACATCGGCGTGGAACTCGTGTCGGTTTTAATATCTGAGGAAACTTTTGCAGTGTTGTATTATCCATACAATTGCTGTTATTTCTCATGACAATATCGGAATAGCTTAATTTGCAGTCTCATTGCATTTAGACAGTGATCGTTGAATACCAAACTGTTTTCAAACGTATTAATCGTTTCTCAGATAATTTCAGAAGTTTAATAACTCGATCATTCGTCGCTAGTGACAGTTTTGAACACTTCAGACGGCACACCTTTCGCAGTCATAGCGGCAATCGATCAGGTCAGAAACTTAGGCGTTCTAAGCATCAGGAAACTTTCTGGCAGACAAGCTCTTGCTGTTCATAAACCAGGTATTGAGAGTAAATTGTTCATTGTAATATTGCAGCGTTAACGTTCATTCGAAATGTGATTTTTGGCCGCTGCCGTCGCCCTTCTACCAAGATCGATAACTTCAGTGAAATCCTACTGCACTTTTCTTCACACTGACCATCGGTACTTCATCAAGCATCAATTCCAGTTTAACGGTGTATTGGTTGATTAACTGATTTCTGACGCTTCTTCAGCGATTCGGAAATTGTGGTGCTTCCGAGTTGAAACCTTGCTTGGAGGAAGGTCACAAATGACCTGGAGATCGAAGGATCCATTGCCAAATAAACAGTTCCTTACAGCACTTAAGGAAAAAGTGGAAAAAGTGTTTTCATTTGGAGATGTTAAAACGAGGGTTAATTCTTTTACTCACGACTATGATTAGAAGTATAAACATTCACAGATGGAACTGCGGTTCCACATCAGTGGTCATCACCAGGATCCATTCAAATTGCTTGCAACATTTGTCCTCGAATTCGCAGAGAATAATGTTGTCCATTTGATTGACTAATTTCTTCTGCCACCAGATCTTTGTATTTTACTCCATTTCTTATAGTACAGTGTGCCTACAACAAGGTGGTGATCGATTCATAGCTCTGCCCCTCTCTTAACGCGAACATCCATTATATAGCATTATAACTCAGACGATATGATTATCAAATCGATCATCGACTTCTGTGCACAAGCTTCCCGCTTTCAGGTATACTGATATATACTGATACACGCTTCGAGGCTCGAAGGTGTTGAAAATGGACTGTCCACTGTTTGTACAATAGGGCAACAACTTCATGCCGCTATTGCTGAGATCGCTAAGGCCGTTCTTTCCAATAATGTCTTTCTTGTTTCCAGTGTTCATTAGAATGAGAGACACCGTAGTCGATACCTTGTGCAATACACACTCCACTTCCTCAAGGAAGGACTCATACTCTCCCTCCAAATATGGCACAGATATGTAAGAAAGTGAGTTTTAGCTTGTTGTAGCTTCAGTCATAGGATTGCCGCCCTTCCGATGACAGGCTTCCATTCAGTGATTCTATTAGGCAGGTTGGGTTCTACCAGAACACCATCCTCCTTCTGCGTGTGCGTCGTGTCGACATCTGAATAGAATAGCTTCGGTGGTTCAGGATTCCAGAGCCTTGACGCTTCGTTGACGAGAGTCCAACAATTTGGAATTGAGAGCTTACGACCTCATCGATTAGCTCCTGCTCTTGCCCTCTGAGTGAGGATATGTTCCAATTTCCGACTGTAAGCCCTCACTGCTGGTCTCGTTCCCGATGAGCCTTTTCTTCCTGCTACAATGACATCGCGCTGTCTGACTCCTCCGTTCAGAACGGGTAGCACATGCTTTCCAATTTCATCTTGGTCGTCGTTTCGTCGATTTTCAACGCCGTTGTCGTGCTGCTACACCCTCGCTTCCAGAAGGCGGTGAGGAGGCTTTTCATCGCCGGCTTTTCATAGTCTGAGTGATCCTTGATAGCCGTGACCGGTATAAGTTGGCAGGTGGCCAAGTTTAACGGAGAGCGTTTTACGGTCTTCAGTCCACCTCGTTTCTCCTCCTGGCATCGGTCCGGCAACAGTGAAATTATAATGAGTCCGGCATAATCAATTTGATGTGCATAGTTCTAACATAGAGTCTGATCGCTAGTTTTATAGAAGTGGAATTGTACATTTATACTCATCCTGTAAGCGCTGTTGTTCGGCTCAGATGTGACAAACAGTGTCCATATCTGCTGGGGATTTCCGACGCAAATTGCAGACCTCCGCTGGCAATCGATCTCCTTTGAAGGCCTTGCGTATTCTGAGACCATCGATTATGTGCGCAACTTCCTGCAGAATTGGTAGTCTGCAATTAGAGGGTTTATCGTATTCTGAGTTTTGCAAGATTGTTGTTGGAATCGAAATGCGGTGATGATTCAATGCTGAGGAAATCTGTCAAATGTTCTCTTCATCAGTTCAAATGCTCCTCTTGAGGAGAACTTGGCAGGGATGCTGGGAGACTGCATCAGTAGTCGGCGTCGTATTCCAGATTTTGCCGGGTTCAATTCTTGCGGAAGGCAATTCTTGTCTTAATTATTGATTTCCTTTAGAAATATATTTACTGCAAATTGCTCCAGAGCTGGAGGTGCTCAATAGGTAGAAGTCTGGCCTATTTAGTGGTTCCATATTAGAGCCCTGGTCGAGGTCGCTCCCTTTGCTTCCTTCTGAGGCTGATAAACGAATACCACGCTGCGGAAAGTAAACAACGGACTACACTCTGTGCTTGTCATACAGTTACTGTCACATCTGTGGCGAGAATGATTGAATTCTCTATGCTGTAATGGAAATAGAAATCAGCTCTCACAGCAGTAAATTCATGAAAAAGGGGTCACAAAAATGACCACCCTGTTTTGAAAGTGAAAGGATGACCGAGAGTCCAACGGTCGCACACTGTCTCTTCTTTTTTTTGACACCGTGTAACCACGCTTTTGGCTTGGTTGTTAGCCGTCGCAATCATTTCTTAAAGTCACATGTGGTGTTTTTTCACTTCAAAAAGAAGTTCTCGGTCTCCCCATTTCCTAAGTATTTATTGAAATGTTATTGCGGAACTGCCAAAAGCTGGCAAGAACCATTGCCTTTAAGGTAGAGATTGACTTGACGAATTTCACTGCCTGGATGGCGCCATTCATTGTCATTGCAATGACGATAGTTGCTCATAAGATGACACTCATTCCTTGCCGTTAAGTTAAACGACGCTTTTCTGTGGGTTCATACTAGAATAATGGTGAGGGTATTTTTTTACTCGCATTCTTTCTGAGCAATATAACACTGACTGTGTAACCTATGAGGGAATCCGGACGGAAAAATTTTCACTGTGAAAAGCTTCCATTTACTATATCCCAAGCATTGAAGTCTCGCTTGCGTAATTGTCAACATTTTCTATGGAATTGTTGTGTTTTAATGGTCAGTTTCTTTGCTAAATAATAATAATAAATAAACATAATTTAAACTCTTAAATACACGTCATTTACAACGCCAATTGCACGACTGTTCACGGATAAAATAAACAAAATATTTTAGGGAGATTCTCGGAATCTGCCAGTCTTTTGGTTCCGACAAAGACGGCGATGAATCCGCAACTTTTGGAGGAGGCACTGATGCAAAGGCAATGCAAGGTGGAGCCTGCCAGGAAAAGCACCACTGCCGATTCTCCTTCGGAGCCAATTGTAAAGCGTGCCACGATAGACCTTGCGGAGCGTATATAACCACCTGCTACTAGAGCCGAAAGACGTTCTCGAAGAGTTGTCGTAAAGAAGATGAGTGCAGCGTCATTGAGGTGGTAGTTCGTGAGCCTGGCGTCGACTTGGACTTCACCCTCGTCACTTATTCCTATGGCGAAGGTCAGTTCGGAGTTGCAAGTCTGGGAATACCGTGAGTTTGTAGTTTTGCCGATTCTGGGAATTCCAAAAGGTTTCGCAAATGCGAGTAGCTGAACGGAACGCGAACGGTGAAACGAGCGTTATTAATCGGAGCTGCAGTGTGAAAGTTGTACTTTGCTCGGTGCTCAATCGATAGGCCAAAACGCTCTAATTATTTCCCTCTCATACACCGATCAATCAATTATATAGCGTAAAGTTTTTGAGAGTAATAATCGAATTTTGTTAAGTCCGCGTTTGCGGTCGGTCGGCCGCAAAGCTTGGCTCACCGCCAACTCCATATCCCCATTCCCTGCGCTGCTGTTCTGTTCCGTTGCCGTCGTTGGTATTACTGAAATTTGTCATTTCTCATATTTAGATGAAATTGATGGCTTGTTCGTTGGCGAACTCCTTTCAAGTTGCCGACCAAACATCGGTGCCATAGTCGACGTAAACGATCAAATCATTAAGGTACTTTCGATAAGTATGTAAGTTCAAATCTGAAAGCTAGTTATGAGGTGTTATGTATTTCTTCATTACCTTTGTAAATTGTGGATTAATTAAAAAACTAGTTTTAAATCGCTTTACCGTAGTACATGGATGTATGCTCAATGCCAATCTTTCATGACGACATTTAGTGCCCCAGTCTGGTTCAGGAGGGCTCCCGTTTCAATGGGCTTTCTATTTGGTCGAATGCCTAACGCCCTCTGCTACTTTTTCGATAAATCGAATCTCCAGTTGTTAGTCGATAATCATCGGCCACAGATCTTGACCCTGAACAAGAAACTATGTCAGAAGCATTTCATGATATTCTGACGTTTAGCACTTGGCGAAAATTATGGAACAAGGAAGCTTTCACCAACAGACAGTTAAATTCATGGTCGCTATCATTTCGATATTTAGTGAAAAATGCAAATTATTGTTAAGAAGTGAACATGACAAAACATATGTGCATGTGGTATATACGATATTGAAGTCATTTAAACCCTTCAAATCAAGAAAGCAAGACTATCGATCTTTAAGCCCCCCACCTCAGCCTTTCTTTAAGGTGAAGCTGACATTCTTTAATCAGTGCATCTATCGCTTTTAACAGCATGCAGTCTTCTAAAAAGCAGCAGTGATACATCAATAGAAGACACAGCTCTGTCCTCCAGACATTAAGCACGATTCGGAGGTGGAAAGTGCAGCATGAAAGACCCCCTGACTGGCTTATAGTGAACACGAATAATCAGTGAAACCAGGCTCACAACAGAGGGGCGTTAATCACCCAGTCCTGTAACACTGCACAAGCGGGAATTCGGAAACTCGCTTGAGGGTAAATTTATAGCTGATAGCCAGGCCAATAACGAGCTTTCCAAATTTCACTTACACAAGTACAACGGAAGTGCAGAGGGTTTAGCCGATGCTTTAAGTGATTTTCTGGAAAAATCTAGAGCTTTAATTGGCTCATAAAGCCATATGAAAAGAAAGGATGATAATTAGTCGTTTGGTTATCGAAGACACTACCTGTCTAATGGAGGAGGATCTGCAAATTTAAGTGATTATGATCCATGTAGACCATAAAAGCTTTACCAGTCTTCCATTCAGTACTGATTTTTCATAAGACCTTAATCCCCTTTCCATGGTTTTCACGACATATTTCGAATGCGTAATATATATTATTAACGAAGACAACTCATTGTTTTAGTAATCTTCGAAGTTATCCTAACGTGTTAATTTTCTTTAGCAATTATCTCTAGCGTTATTCGCTTTCAGACGGCCTCTTGAATTGGAAAATCAATAAAAGAGAATAATACCATGGAATACCGTAGCAAAATTGAATATGTTCCACTGTGGGAACCAAACTTATGCTTCAAGCAGAAATTCATCAGTCAGTACGGCCGCATGAATATGAATGCTATGAATGTGAAACGTAGATCCTAAGCTCAAAATTGTTTTGTAGCTACAAACTGGACAAAGCAACACATTTGGACGTTAACTAGGAATAGCAAGCAGGCATAGGATGATTTCGAAAAATTAAGTTGCCTTCCAAGTAAAAATGATTCAATAAATCAATTAACGCTCATGTATAAATGTGAACTTTAAATCCTGATCGTCCGTGCTGTTCTAAAATTACAGCCTACTCATTCATCGTGTTCATTATCATATATTCATCGTGTTTACGTGTATGTTCAGAATTGCAATAAAGTTATAAAATGGTGCACAAATGAATAATAGCTAAATGTTTCTGCCATATCACTGTAAGAGCGAAGGTATTGAGGTGGTGATAACTATCAGAACGGAGAACAAGCGGAAACAGCAAGAGGTAAGCTCGATAAGTTGACGAACTGAAAAAATTGATTTGAGCCGGATGGCAGCTGATGGAAACTATTTTGTGTCAAAAATGTTGGAGGCGTTTACCGTTGTGGGACGAAACAGCTAACGAGAGTATCGATCATAAGCTGAGCTACACATTGTGAAATATCACCTCATTACTTCTGTTTACAGGCCCTTGAAATGAATCTACATAACCTTAAATTTGAGGGATTTGAACAGAACAGTTGTGTGAGGTTGCATTGCTGCTTTCCAAGGCTGAACACGCTCCCTCGTGTTGCACCCGAACGCTTAGCAGTACTTCTACATAACGGTGTCATCCGTGGTCAGAAGTCAATGGTGACTTAAGTCAATTACGATTGAGGCACGAGGTTGCTGGCAAATGTCACCTGCTGTTCAGAGAGTGGCCATTGCAATGGTGAACTAAAACGAAGGCACATGTTTTTGTACATTGCCTTGTATCTTTTGACAAGGGCGGGGGCAGAAACAGTAGAAGGGGTTTTATTGCGTGCGAACTCAGCAGCGCATCTACAGGTTACAGAAATGTGCCATTTCCTGGTAACAGGTTCGGTTGTTTTAAAGATTTTGTCATATTTTAAGCTCTTTGCAAATTCTTATGTTGGATGCACAAAGATACGCCAATATTAATAACTTCCTCAAGGTTAACGTCAACGAATTGAAGGCTCTTTGCTTTCGACTGCATCTAAACCTTGAACAAACCATTGGCATTTAAGGCGAAGAAACGCATCGAAACCTCTATGGGCTACCGCAATCTCTAAATATCTATAAGATCATCTGTCAGTATCCCATTTACTACGCAGTTTGCATGTTGTCAGAACGGACAGCAGCGGAATCTGGTCTTCCTTACTGACGGCTTTTACTGGTTCTGTAAGATCGTTGCAAAACTGTAGCCAGCCCTACTAACTTTTTGTTAACTTGCTAACTAAGAAAAAGTTTTAATTTTCATATGTTATTTCTGTGTTATAATGATCGGAAGCCAACAAAGGTGAACAGCAGAGTAGTCCAATATTTAGAAATGATTTCTCAATATAATATGTCCATGTAATTATAACCTAGTGATGAACGTCATGAGCATAACCTATTATATTTTTGCGGTGGCATATAAGAAGCACCAACTCCTGAAAAATCGTTTTTAATCAGAGCTAGAAAAATCTAGCGAGCAAAGTTGCGAGATGCGTCTGAGACTGCAGAAGATAAATACCGTGGAGCGGTGGCCTGCCCTTATGTACCCACCCGAAGACAATCAGGATTAGGGAAGGTACAATACGCCGTTACGTGTGATCATCGGTGAGTTATTGGCTTAACTTAATCATGAAAGAATCATGCTTGGGATCAATCTTATCCTTATCCTTAAAATCTGACTGTCAATTCATAAAGAGTAGAGGTGAAAATATGAAAACTCTCGCCTCAGGGGTTTAACCTGCTGAAACTGTTTTTTCTGTCTTTGAAAATCGTTAACCTGAGATCGATTTGGCTGCACCAAACTTTCCAGGGTGCCGGTAAGGAGGTGGGTGCGATCACTCACCTATTCGGTTAAGAGGTGTCGGTTCTACGATGACGGAGAAACAATCTTCATCTTAACCGTGAATTCCCTTAGTAAGGGATGCGTTACAGGTTGCTACAGACAAGTTCAGTCAGTAGATCGTGAAGAGATCATGAATTCGAGTTCTTGTCGGGATTCTCGAATTTGCTCCTTCCTAGGATTATGAATGACGACCACTCTGTTGGAAGTAAAGGTAGACTACGCACTATGCTTGCTACAGAATTGCTGTTCACTGAATTACTCGTGGTTTAGCATGGAAATCGAGATCAGCGTCCCAACTTCATAAAAAGAAGGGGCCCAAAAACGGCCATCATTAAAGTATAGGAATGGCCGGTAGTTCAGCGGTTGCAAATTCCTGTCTTTTTTTCCAGCTGGATGAGGATAGTGGCAACAGCACCATTTCTATGGGCATTTTCTCGTTGCTTTCATTTACTACCCATTATGCATTCATCAATATACGCATACTTTGACGGCTAATGGCCAATCACGGTTTCTGCTCCAGTTCAGCCACAGCATTTCCAATAATTGCCGTTCAGCGCATAACCGTTCAATTATCCACATCTGTTGTGAATATGACTTTTGAAATGCCATACCGCCTTGAGGTGAATGGCTTGGACATTGAAGAGCTTCCCAACGAAGAGTCGATTCGATACTTGATTTCTTGCCGGAAGATTCTGTGCCTGACGCTTGTGAGATATTACTCACACACGCAGAAATATCGACTGCTTCAGAAACTAGGTACATATTTGTGAAATGTTCGTTCGTTCGACGACGTGGTTTGTTTCGTTGCAGCCACCATCGATCAATATCCGTATGGCAAGAGCAAACTTCACCTCAGAGAGGTGTTCAGACAAATCGCCAGTTCGACGTCTCCCGTAACACCCAGATCAGCCAATATGGAGTTGTGTCGCAAATGGGAAAGGATCCTTGGCATCGATCGCCGAGTTTTCGTAAGCAACGCGACATTCGCTCGTCTTGTCATTGATTGATTAAATTCTGACCAATTAAGTTGAGGCGTGTACTTTAATTACTACGGTTTAATGCTTCAGCATACGACATTTTTTTGACGCATATGCTGAGCTCTTTCGCAGGGCATTCAAGCAAGGCTGTATGTTTGGTAACTAGTTATTATAACTGGTAACTAGTAATCGTTCCATGAAACTGTTATTTACAGTATTTTGAGAAACGGAAATGGAAATGGGTATTTTCACGCTGAATCTTTCAGCACCGTTTTGCCGCATTGTTTTTCAAGCTGATTTCCACAAAGTTTTGCCCCAGTTAAGCGTAGCTAAGTGAAACTGCGTGAAATTGAAAATGCGATTTCAGACTCAAGCAATAAGTTAAGGTAAGTCCTCTGTTCTAATCGGCGAAATTTTTAAATTCCAAAATCCACTGGTCTTTGGTCTTATTGCTAGAGTTTTATTATTCGCCTTGAAAGAGGAATTCAGAGATGAAGTGCACATAAATGGCGAATGGACGACTGTAATTTTTGTTTTATCAATCAATCGATTACCTGTTCATTAGCTTGAACAATATTACTACTATCGTCAGAATTAATGATCCGTACCCAGACACAGTATCCATGGTGCGGGCAACGAAGCCATGCTTATGGCATTGGGTAAAAATTATCCAGAACCAGCGGTTTCAGTGTTTCCCGAATTCGAAGAGTCCTGGAAAGAAGTAATAAGACTGATATGTGATCAACTTCGGAGCTAGCTAGAATATCATTATGACTATTTCTTGATTCCTGATACAAATATAACCCAGTTGGTGACCACGGTCAGTCAGCATCCTTTTCATAGTCAAATCGTTGTCTTGACGAAGTCCTGTGTAACCCGGCTAATTAATTCTGTTGGAACTATTTTGGTGATGTGGAATGTCACTCAACACGGCACATTTGAAGACGGCTACATTCCTTTTTGGCGGATAGACAAAGATGACTCGACTGTCATCATCAATAATAGAAATAAATAATTATTAATTAGACAGAAGAAGCAGAGTCGAACTGCATTACTTTTTGCACGGATCTGCAACGTCGGCAGTCTGGATAGACAAGATTAACAGTTCCATACCTTTACTGAGTATCGCAATAATAGGGCAGTTTTAGCTACGGTTTTGGCATCATAAAAACTCGCCTGCGACGTACGGATCTGACGCACAAAATTGAATCTTCCTACTCCTATTGGCCTTTTATCCGCAGGATAACAGTGCTGAAGTGTTGTCTTTCATAACTGTCGTTATATGAATTGTCAGTATGCAATTGATAATCAAGCCATCTCTTTTGATTCTGTGGTCACTCCATCTGCAGTATGCAGCAAATCAATTTCATAATGCTAAGCAGAGCTGAGCACGATAGCAGCGGCAGAAGGCATAGCTATAAATATTGAATCGATGTGGTATCAGAGAAGAATTATGAAGAAAGTAAAATCCGTTACCTAGCATCAAATTGAAGCGCCTCACAACAAAAACTAGTGGTTACCGCTTTGTTAAATCA